TTTTTATTGGAAATCATATATAGGCTTCCCACTGGAGATGTAGCACATTGGGTGATATTTCAAGGTCAAAGTCAAAAATGTTGATATTGCCATTATATTTTAAATATCATGTAACGTATACATGTATAGTACCCATTTCTCCTTGGACAACCAGGTGCCCATGATTATTGAAAGAAAACCCTTATTTGTGGTAAGTTGGACAGAAAAATGATTTACTGGGGCTCAGTGCAATCATGGCCAGCAGGGGCAACTATGTCCTCTACTGAGGGCCCTCTAGTTTTATTCTAGTTGCTATCTTCCAATTGAAACCTTGTTTTTAGTTGAGCTTTGGTCATTATTTTTAGGTGCTGTATCATCTTGATTTTACATCTCAAGTGAGTGCAACTGCCGTTACCATGGTTACAGGTGTTGTTGTCGTAGGCCTGGACAATGCTTAAGTAAAATGTTTTGTTTCAGTCAGCATCGATTTAGCAATATTAGTAATTAGCAGGTAATTAGTTAATTGCCATTCATCATTGAAATCACTACTAAAATATTACCTGAGAAGCCAGAAGACAAAAGACATGCGTGTCAGGAAATGTCTCAGACATTAGCTGTAGTACCTGGTTGCACCACCAGGTGGAGCGTCCTGCTCTTTAATGAACTTGAAGACTGCAGCTTGTTTGTGCATTTAATACTGCAGTGACCCGAGGAGGCGGTCGCTCAGACTATGAGCGGTTCAGTGTTGGTAAGCGGAGAGCATTGTGGGAGTTTAGCTAGTAAAGGGCCACCATGACAAAGACTTCTGTGGCGGTGAATGACCGTCGGTCATCGCTGTGTCAGGGACAAGTTAGAGCTCCTATCAGTGGGTCTACCATTTAGCTACGTGTGTGGTTAAGTTGTATTTGTGGATAAACATATAGAATAATACCCAATGTGCACACGTGTAATATCAATTAGTTACTTGTTGCGACTCAATTTTAATTTGCAGATAAGTTTAGTTCGTTAGTTTATTTCTTACAAGAACCGACACTCATCTTTACTGAATGTAAGAAGCTTATTAACGGTGAGAGAACAAATCACACAGGACGGGACTTTTAATTAAAACAGCGATTAGTTCTTTTCACGTTTGTCCATCTTGAACATCATCTTTTAGCTTTTACTTGTTGAAAAAAGCTTTTGAAACATTTTGCCATAGTTTTCATTTTGACATATTACTTATCTGGTTTAAAAATAGGCTGACAAGAAATACCTTTCATTGTAGTTTTCTGTGGTGAAATTAGGACTGACTGTTCCACAAATGCTTCATACTGCTGACATTTAGCAGCAATAGTAGTGACGTTAGAAGATCACGTTGTGCTTCGGTTTATTCTCTGAACAATCAGGAGACACTGATGGTACTTTTGCTAAAGACTGAGTGAAAGGATCTGGCTTCTGATAAAGTCTTTGTGAAGCAAAGATGAGCACAGAAATGTCAGGCTTAACAAAAAGATCTACTAAATATTCTGCTTCTGTTCATAGTAAATGCAGCTCATCATTCTGCCTTAACTTTATTTTACTTGTTAATTTCATATCAAAATTCCTTTTAATGATTAAGACGTCATGACTTCAGCTGAAATTAATGTTTTGGTTTTTTGTCCCTGTGGGGAAAAGCAGCATCTGTACATGACTTATATGACACATCTGGATCACAAACTCTCATAAATCACCTTGTACAGAGCCTCAGAATGAACCTGTTCATACAAGTTGTTGTCGGGGGGCGGCCCTTTGTCTGAAAGAAACCGGCTTATTGTGGTTCACCTTGTCTTTCTTTGAAGCTACTTCTGTTGCAATCTTGGTTTGTGCAAAACGCTGAACGAACAAAGACACATTTTCTGTGAAAGCTGTGCTACATCATCATATATGCTCCAGTAGTTTCAGAAACGCAGAATGAATATAGCTGCAGATATACAGAAGCTCCACTGAGCAGCATCTTTTATCCTCTAAAGACGTAATGTGCTGTTTTTTATATACAACAGAGACGTGCAAATTGCAGTCTGGAATTCTTTTGCAGTGTTGTTCTGTGTTGAAATTGTAAGTAAAGACTTGCAGAATCGTCTGTAAGTTTACCGAAGGGTTGTTTGGCTCAGCCTGACAAAAGAACTCATGAAAGATGTGATGTAGATGCGCCGACTTCATGCAGACCTTTCAAACGGTGAACCAGAGTCTGGTTCTGCTGGAGGTTTGAAGGTTTCTTGTGTCACCAGGTTCTGTCCAACAGGGAATTTACTGGCTTCCTCTAACGCTGTTCAGTGAAGTCTGTGGGGGAATATAAATCCGCTGAACCCATCGCTGGTTGCTTATTTTGAGAATTGATTTTTGTCATTGTAGTTTGCTGAATTTAACTCTCTGCCTTCTTGAAGATTCAACTCTAATTAATGAACCTGTGAAGCACAATTCAAAGCTGTGCAAGTTGGTGTGAAATGTAGGCTGACGAGGTTGTTAAGTTACTGCAATCGGCCATAAAGCACCGCCATCGGTTGTGACCGAGTCGGACGTGTCCCTCCGAAATGGATTGTTTCACATGTGAAAGAGTAAGAAAGACTCCTGCTTCCAGCTAAAACAGTTAAATCAGCAGCGACCAGTGCAGGTCAGAAGGGCTAAAAATCAACCTCATGGTCATCATGCACTCACACAAATGCTGCTACATGAAATTTTAACCCACACACTCACTAAATAGTTGCATATGTGACCATTTAGGGATCAGTCTGACGCCCCAAATCCAAATGTTTGCTGTTCAAGAAGAGAAAATAAAGGCTGATTCCATGCAACGTCTCTCTTCATCAGTTCAGAGCTACAATGAAGACATGTAGCCTAAACCAGAGGTCTCCCTGACACAGTTAACAAAGCACCTTTACATGATGATATAATTGACTTAAAGAGTTGGATCTCTGACGACATTTTACAACAATTTATCAGTTAACTTGAATGCATCAGTATTCATTTGTGGAGAGCCTTTAATGATATTAACCATCTGTGAACTTTGGATTGATTCTACTCTGCTGACAGAAGTCGTTCCTTCACCACATGTTTTATTCAGCTTGTAGTGAGAGGACGGACTAAAGTATCGCTCTACGACGAAATTAGATTTTTTTTCTCATTTTAAATAGTCAAAAAGCAGAAAGGCAATGTGTTGTGGTCAGTTTTGATGTTGTGGCGAGATGCCACAAATTCATCAGTCTGTTGGAAACACAGATGTGACGCCAAGTACTGCAAACAGTGTCAGGCATGTTTTGAATATCAAATCAAATCAGCTTTATTGATTTGATTTGATATTTGGCGGCATAGCTACTCAATTCAATTCAATTTTATTGGTATAGCACATATTTACAACAACAAGTCATCTCACAGCGCTTAACAAAGGCAGAGACACCCAACAATCCAAAACATCTGGATTCCCTATAAGCTTCAGCAGTCCGCAACAGTGGGAAGGAACCGAAAACCCCCACAGGGGAAAAAAAACCTCCGACAGAACCAGGCTCAGGGAGGGACGGCCATCTGCCTCGACCGGTTGGGTGGATGTAGGATGAATTATAAAATGTAGTGTCCTACTACTGAGGTACAGAGCAACAGAGTGGTACACAGCCAGAATGAACGAGCCTGTGAGCCTGAGCTCAGGGAACAGAAACCCTGAAGTTACAGAAACAAGTCGCTCACAGCAGAAGTGAAGCAAAAGTCATGTGTAAAAAGAGTGAGGCCCGCTGGACTTGTAACTGGTGATTTGTCTGTATTTCCAGCACTTGTAGCCAAATGCTAAGACTTTTCATCTACTAATATCTTCTTACACAGCGATCAATCTTTCACAAATCTCGCTCCAGACACACAGATTGAGATGCAGACACACAACTCTCCACACACACGTACAAATAGTTTTGCTACAGTAACACTCCCATATCGTCACGTGTTTAAACACGTTTCAAAAAAGA